ACAAGATCAGTTACAAGATCAGTCATGAGACCAGACTCAAGACCAGCCACAAGACCAGTCACAATAACTGAGGACCAGTGACGAAGGAATACTTTTGTCACAGTTCATTCAAATCGCTTATGAGTTGGCTTCAGACTGGAGGACTTGTGATGGGTCTTGCAGGATTTGTGGTGGACTAGACTGCAATGTCTGTTGTACCAATGAAGGTCTTATTGCAGAGTGGCAGAATTCTTGGGATTTGGGAAGGCTTCTATATAAATTTAAAGGATTGAACTTGATTGACAGAAAGTTTCTGACTTTTCAGTTTGGCCAACAAAATGTGCAGACAAAGAACCAAAAAGATCAAAAGTTAGCTAAAATTATCTAACGACTAGGTATGTGCATACTCTTCAGAATCTACGGTGGTTCTTAAATAACACACAAAAAAAAGCTTCAGCCTAAATATTTTGGCTCATTAAAAGTTTCTTGCTCTACCCAGATATATTTACCACTATCAGCACGGAGACACGAGATTCTACGATACGCGGTCAGGAAGAAACGATGTCTACATGACGGGTATTGCTGATAAGTAAGTCTCCTGAACTGCCTTTGATTACCGTCAATAAATATATTGTGTCTGTGCATGAGCAATAGAGGGCACTATTTCCACACCAACCTCCCTCTTCTATGCTTGGAAGAGCAGACATAGCATTTCATGATTTAGTTTGGGGTCTTCGATACCAGTGGGGGACTTTTAGACGCCGGTGACATCAGTCGTACTAGTCATTTGTCACAGTATTGGGCATACTGAGAACTAGGCACGCAGGCTCAGAACAAAGTGCTCATTCTCAGAAATGGTAAAAAGGATCAGTATGTTTGCCGCCACCAATTGTCGCAAAGTCTCCGGTTGCTGTTCGTTCCACCCAGGCCGACTTGTGGATTGGGTGCTCAATCCTTACCTGAGTCTGTAGGTTTCCAGCCCAGATTGTATGTCGGGTGTTTTCCTTCCAGCTCAAAAACTGAAAATATCTTCCACGCCTTCTCTCCTAAGGCCCCTCGGAAAAACAATTTTTAAGTAGGACTTTCCCCCACTTAAATGAAGAAAAAATAAACTAAAAAAAAAGGATAAGGAAGGAGGGGGAGGGGAAAGGGACAGGGAAAGGGGGGGGATGACTTGCCTCAAACCATGGCTCTGCCTCGGAAATATCAATATCACTGATTAAATGTCTTTCACCACAAAATCTTTTCATGGGAAAAATGCTTGTCTGGGTTTTAGCCTGAAGTTCTTATCCCTGATTTGGCTGCCTTTTTTTTGCTTGAAGATCAGAGAAGCTTGTCAGGCGAGGCGTGCAGGAGGTCTTTGCGGCTCTGCGCATCTTCGTGGACTTCCTCCTCATCCTGATCCTGGAACTTCTCCGTTTCCTCGCTTACAACGTCTTTGGATTGCTCTTTGTCGGCCTTCTGACGACATTTGGTGACTATTTCTTCAAGCCCGTCCTGGCCGCGATGTTCAACAGCATTCTTCAACCTCTGGCTGTGTTTTTGTACAATGTCGGCATGGCGCTGAAGACGATTTTCGGACCGTTGATTGACATTTTTAGGGCGCTGTTGATACAGTTTGCAATGCTCCTGAGAGCTTTCCGATTGGTGGAAGTAAACTGGAGGGCGGGGCCTCGTGACACAAGAGGCGTGGAGGATGTTTAACCACGACCACCTAACATACTTCAAAATCCAGAAGGAGG